ACTACAAAAATGCTGTTGGAACATTTATTGCTCTGTCTACACATGCCCTTAAAATTACTGGTGAGAGGGCTGGAGAGATGGCTCAGTGGTTAATAGCACTGCTTGTTGTTCCAGAGGTTAATTGGATATCATCTAATAATTAAGATGATTGACATAGTTCATACTTGATTTCCTAAACTAGAATATGTGCACCTTGACGGTGACAGGTTTTGATGGTTGTGTTCCTAAAGGGCTTCAAGGTCAAGACAACCAGTGTGAACAGACAGTTGCCACAGAGAAGCTGCCTGACAGACTGTTGTCTATAAGGAAAACGTTCCAATAAATCCTGATGAAGCAGGACATGCTAATATTTATCCAGAGGGTGGAAGGTCATTGTGTTGCGGCACAGTGAAAATTCAATTGATTTCTGTTGATTTTTCAAAGTCTAATGAAAGACAATGTGAGCATTGTCCTCTGGAGGAGGGTTTCAAAGGGCGTCAGGAGTGCATCCTATGGCTTAGATACGTTAGCAGAAGATGGAGGCATCGATACAGAAGTCATTTTAGTCACCTGAGTCGTTTGCAATTGGAATATAAAGGAGGGTCAAGAACCAGCTCATGTGTCTGGCTGCTATGACATTTACAGATGTTTCAGAGCTCTGCCTTACTTCCCTGTGTTAGCGGATGAGGGTCATGTGTGTGTGTGTTAGAAACTATCAGATCCAACTATTCACAAGTTGAGAAACAACTAAGAAAGATTCTAATGTCAATATTTTAAAATTGGGGATAAAGAGTTTTTCCTGGAATGTAGACAAATTTCCCCACCAGTGATCTATTCCTAAGTGGGAAGGAAAACAGCTCCGACTTTCACAACATTGGTTTTGCTAATAAAGTTAATTTTTACCCCCACAGACTTTCTCTTAAGGATTAAGACAAAGCCAGTGAGCACTATGTAATCAGATCTAATACGTAATACTTGGCTTCAAATGTGTCTTTTCTACCCGAGGTCTTGAATCATCAAAAGGAAATCAATCAAACAAACAGGGTTTGGAGAGATGGCTCAATGGTTAAGAGCATTTGCTGATCTTGCAGACCAGCTCTGGGTTTGATCTCCAGTGTAGCATGAAGTGGGTGTGGTGGTGCAGGACCATAATCCGACTCAGCACTGGGCAAGTGGAAGCAGGAGGACCAGAAGTTCAAGATCAGCCTGAGCTACATCGCAAGTTTGAGGCCAACCTAAGATACATGATATCCTATCTCAAAAAGGAAAAAAGAAAATGCTGAAAATAATACAAGATAGAAAATACACAAGTTTTCTTTTTCTTCCATTTTTGAGTCTAGTCTCTCTATGCAGCCTTGACTTTTCCTGGAACTTGCTATATAGACCAGGCTGGCCTGGAATTCACTGAAATCCTCCTGCCTCTGTCTCTCAAGTGCTGGGATTGAAGGTGTGAGCCACTATACCCAGCTGTAAGTTTTCTTTCTGTCTTGATAGTTAGGATTTTATTTTAAGAAAGATTTATTTTAAAATTATATGTAGTTGTGTATCTGTGTGTAGGTATGTGCACCATGTATAAGCAGTGCCTGAGAAGGCCAGACGAGAGCAATAAATCCCTAGGAACTGGAGTTACAGAAATTTGTCACCTGCCATGTGGGTCCTCTGTAAGAGCGGCACCTTTTTTTTTTTTTTTTTTTTTTGAGACAGGGTCTCACTATGCTCCCCTAAACTCACAGAGAGCTGCCTGTCTCAGCCTATGAGTGATGGGTTTAAATGTGTGTGCCAACTCAGCTGTCATATTTTAATGTCCTAGCCATTGACTTGTTGACTTATAACACAATGAATATTGTACATTGGTTTAGCTTCTCTAAGGTTGTATGAACAAAATTGTATCCTACATCTGCTGTGTACAACTTTCTAGGGATTTGATTCATAGATTTTGTTGATTTCTCAATGGATGGACAGACCTAGTCTTCCATTTCCCTAAGCAAAACTGCAGAGTGTAGTTAAGACTAATTTTGGAATGCTCTCCTATTTTATTTTTGAGATGTATTTCCTCTTTTTTTTTTTTTTTTCTTTTTTGTTTTTTTTTTGAGACAGGGCTTCTTTGTGTAGCTTTGGAGCCTGTCCTGGAACTTGCTCTGTAGACCAGGCTGGCCTCAAACTCACAGAGATCCGCCTGGCTCTGCCTCCCAAGTTCTGGGATTAAGGGATTAAAGGCATGTGCCACTACTGCCCGGCTTGAGATGTTTGTTTGTTTGTTTGTTTGTTTGTTTATTTAGTGTTTCTGGGTATGAGCACATGCATTCCAGAGTGTGTGTGGAGGTCAGAGGGCAATCTTCAAGATTGTGTCTCTCTTTTCATCTTGTTTATGAGGCAGGGTCTCTCTGGTCATTTCTGCCACCCATGTGCAGACTTCATAATAATAATGATACTTATTGACTTAAAAACACTGTTATCATCCATGTGTAGTGGTGCATGCTTATAGTCCTAGTACTTGGGAGGCTGAGGCAGCAGGATCTCAAGTTTGAGGCCAGCCTGAGTCTTTCTGGATTATACTCCAACCAAATCACATAACTTCAGCCACCACTCAAAATGCTGTTGTTACTTGATGTGTGTCAGGAATAATTCTATCTCTAACAGATGAGGAAACTGAGTCATAACTACGTCTCTATGGTCACATAAGGAACATACAGTGGAGCAGGAACGAGCGACTGGCTTCAGAGGGACCCAGGCAGTGAAGCCTTGCTCCTGAGAAACACTTCACCTGTTTCTAAACTGGGGATTTTTATTGTTAGTGGTGAATTTTGACCTAGAACAGAGCAAGGCTGCATGTGGGGCGCACATTACAAAAGATGCAGGGTATGGTACTCACTTTTAACCCCAGCGTCGGAGAAGCAGAGGCAGGGGAATCTCTGGAGTTCCAGGCGAGGCTGGTCTGCTTAGTGAGTTCCAGGTTAGTAGGGGCTACATTGAAAACAAACAAACAAACAAACAAACAAACAAACAACCCAGACAAAAAACAAACCAAAATCATGTTGCAATAGACATCTAGTAAATATGAACTCTTGTATTCCTGAAGGCTTAACTGCCTCTCCAGGTAGAAACGGTGTCATAGAAGGGCAAGACCCACCCAGATGTGGTTAGAAAGAGACTTGAAAGTCTAAGGCCAAAGTTTGACATTGCTCTCCTCACTAAATTCTTTGATAATCTCATGCTTTCTCTCGAGATTGTATGCAAATGTTACATTCTATTCCACAACCACGTTGCTTACTTATTAATAGGAAACCTTAATAGGAAACCTGCTGGCCAGGTGTGGATTACAAGATTACCCCTGTAATCCCAGAAGTGGGGTGGAGGCAGAGGCGTTATCATGAGTTCCAGGTCCACCTGAGTCACATACCAAGAGCAGCTCTGCAAACTGACAAAGTAAAAGAACTTCATTCCCTGCTGAGACTTGCTTATCCTAAAATCTCCTGATTCTAGTTTTTCTATGAGTGTGTATCTTGGTATGCTGACCTCAAAGACTTCACTATTTTTCTTTTCCTTTTCTTTCTTTCTTTCTTTCTTTCTTTCTTTCTTTCTTTCTTTCTTTCTTTCTTTCTTTCTTTCTTTCTTTCTTTCTTTCTTTCT